GTGCAGAAGAGAAAAATTCTTCTCCCAGGGCGGTTTTTAGATTCTCTCTCCTCTCCAGGACCTCTCACTGGTGTCGAAACTCCATGCTGGGTGGGACAGGTGGGCAGGGGGACCGTAACGGCCGCTGCCACAGCCCTCCCTAAATTCCAGGTGGTTTCAGCTCACCCCCACCAGAAACTCACACAATGAGGCCAACTCAAGCAGAACAAAGAAACAAAGGCAAATGTCCCAGGCTACAGCTGGTAATTAGAAGCCCTCAAACACCCTCCCACGTGCTTTTTGGGTTTTGTCTCCGTTTTTCACCTTTAGCCCCTCACAACTGTAACTGCACATTTATGTAAGTGACTTGGGACTTCAAAAGCATCAAAGGTGTTCTGATAACATAGGCACCAAGCAACCCATTTCAGATGAAAATATCTCAGCTTCCCATCTCACCTATGAAATGTGATAAATGATAAAGAAGTCCCCCTTATTCCTCAAAGAGGCAGCTCCCCACCACAGACCAAAGAGTGCTTAGGAGAATCATGTAAAGGGGGCTGCCCATAGCCTTCTAGTTAAAAACACAGACACCAATCACCCAGCAATTGGACTTGGTGAAACTTCTTAGTCATTTAGGTTTCAGTTTTATATCTCAGTTCTGCCTTTAAGATTGTCTCCAATCTTTGCAGACATGATTTGAACTCACTATGAAGACGATACAGCCTGGAGTGGCTCGAAGGGTCAGGAGCGCACCTATCAGCCTGAAAACTGGCAGTTTGAACCACCTATGCACAACACCAGAGACCAGCTGGAGAACTGCTCTCTAAAGGTCACAACCGGAAACGTCTGTGGAGCAGTTCTAGGCTGTACGTGCCGGTGGGGGGCGTCACACTAAGTCCGAATTAACTCGGAATGAAACGGATGGCAACTCACAGCACAAATCAAGATGATCACTTCCTAGCCAATAAAACTGCTCTGCTGGAAAGAACGGAATTCCTTAAGCAGTATAGGTTCCATATGTGTGCAGGGATCAGGACCACACAGCAAACAAAAGACCTGGGAAAAGTTACAGGGAGGCACAAATGAAAGGAATGCTACACAATTTCCTCCAGCACTCCTCCTTTAAGAAAGGACTGCGCGTGGTGGTGCAGATGCATGAAGGTACACACACAGTTCGTTTACATCAATCGTGGTCTCCAATGCACTTCTGTTGTTCTCCCTGGGAGGCATCAAGGCAATGTAAGTCCCAAGGTTTTTAAATTCTGAACAAATGGAAAGAATGCAAGCGAGGAGGCACTCCAGTAAAATACACACACACACACACACACACACACACACTCACTACCAGGCCAGGGGTATAGTTTAAACAAAAACAGGAAGCCTTGCCTATGGGGCCAATCCGGACAAGGGTAAACTTTTCCATCAACCTCGGTCCAGTAGACCTAACTAAGACTTCTCCACCCTACCCCCAACATTTTGTAACAATTACTTTTAAGAAGTAGAGAAAACAAGTAGTCATTACCAGTGGTAACCCCCAACGAAAGAGTCTTACAACCCTTTTAAACTAGAAAAGGTGGGAAGAGAGACCTAAGTAACTCATTCCCCGTGTACTTTGATTACACTAATCTGATGCAGCTTTCCTTTAAAACTAATGAAGCTCCGCTGGATGGACCAGAGTGCTAAATCTCGCCCAACACCCCAGAATCGGACTTGCTCTTTTGAAAAAGTCCTTCTGCTTAGCAGTGGGTGGGCCCGAAGCAACTTCCCAACTAGAGGCAGCCTGCGGTCCCCAAGAGGGCGTTTACTCCCTGCTTCCACCCTCAGTCAGCTCAACAAGTTTCCCCTTGGGCGCCAGCGTCTCACACCCACCACCCGAGCTCCACGAGGAATTTTCCTCTGGCATGCGAAGACTTTCCGCTTTATTTTCACAGCCGGGATCTCTCTTCCTTTCGCTCACCCCTGCGATTTCCCCGGTATTCCCGTGACATTTCCCGCACAACTTCACCTCCGCCCACTTGTTCCCTCCCCAGCTAACCGACTCCAACTCCAAGCCACCCTGCGCCCCAGAGCCTCCCACCTGCGCTGCTCCCAAGGGACCCCACCCCGTGCCGCTCGACCCCCGGGTCCCCAGCAAGGGGTGGGGGGAGGACAGAGCACAAAGGTCACTGACGAGTCCTCCTGGACTGAAGCAAAACGCAAGAGAAATAAGCGCCCCGGAGAGGAGGGGGGTGGGGGTGGAAGAGGATGAAGTGGGAGGGAAGGGTTGGTCCTGGGAAGCCTCTCGGTCACCAGCGTCCCCAACACCTTCCCAATCACCAGGACGTAAGCAGTCCGTGGGGCTGCGGTTCCGGCTACCCCACCACTGGGCTCTCCCAGACGGGGCTCCAGGGGCGCCCCGGAACTGCGACGCCCCCTCGGCGCCCGGCATTGTTCGCGCTCCAGGAGCACACATCTGGAAGGCGCCCCGGCGCCCCGGCCCCTACCTCCGCCAGCAGCGCCAGCAGCAGCGCCGCGAGCGCCCCGGGCAGGCGGCTCATCGCGCCTCCC